CTTCAGTTCGAAGTCTGCACTAGTCCGAAAAGGATTCGACTGATTTTTCCAGCTAGAAAAAAAAAAAAACAAGGATTAATCATGTATCGCTCTTTCACTCAAACGTCAAAAATACTTGAGCGAGTATATTAAACTTACTCATTCCGCATACCTACAGTGCATTCGATAAACGTCAGTTCCAAGCCATCTCCGGAAGATGCAATTTCAGCCACAACTTTTTCAATCACAGGCTCCGCTGCAAAAATGACATAAGAAGCCAAATGATTACTGAGAAGCGAAAGTTGAGAAAAACTGTTGAATGAGCTATAAACTTATAGCTAAGAATGAAAAATACCAAACCTACGACACAATCTGGACACCAGCTTTTCTCACCGTCCTTGGAACCCGTGAACAGAATAACCGTTCGGCCTTTTACTTCTTTTAATGTTGCATTCAGCTCATTGAAACCATCCACTTTTTTCTTCCCAAGAACCATTTCGAGAAATCCGAACTACAAATGCCTCAAGCAACTGAAACCAGCGCACGTTGAATGGTTAAAACAACACGAATCCTCGGTTTAAAAACACATGATTGCGCCGGCTATCTTGGCTATTTATTTTTTAATTCGACTACACCCCTGATCCGCCAGTAAGCAAAACAAACAGTAACAGCAATCACAATCAATTAAATCGCAGCAACGACTTTCGAGTTCGTCTAAAAACCGCAATTCCCTCGTGAATGTGAAGAACATTTAGGCTCAGTAAACCAATAACCCCCATATACCTACCATGCGAAAAGTAATTCTGGTCTTCAAGTTCACATAACTGGAAATCAAAACTTCCCAGCCTAGCAATTTATGCGCTCATACCTTGTCCCGAAGAAAGAGGAATTATTCAAATTTATTGGTTTTTGATTTTAATGTTTCTAAGTCGTTTCACTTATTATGCGTTTTTGCATATATGCAAATTGCAAAAACGCATACTGTCACGACCCTGTCTGCGTGTGTATGTTTGTGTGAGTGTGTGCGCGTGTTTTCGTTTATCCGTGTATTTCAACTCGACAATCAAGCAAGCTGTGGTGACAAAATTTTACCAGTTGGTGCTACCCCCAGACCGTCGTACCAATCTCCACGCACGTCTGGGACCCTCGTGCGAAAGCGTGAAAGTTTTGACGGGAAAATTGCTAACTCGGAAACCCAAATAGGACTACAAAGAACGAGAACTACAAAGTTTTCAAATTCAGCCCTCAGTTGTGCATGGTTCCCGTGTACGACCCGTGAAGATTCCTGGTGGGAAAATCGCCAACATGGAAACCAGGAAAGCTAGGACGCTGAAATTTTAAAGAGATGTTCCCAGCTCATGTACATCTTAGAAATATCACAGTCAGCCCCCGGCATGCATGGTTCTCATGGATCGCCCCGTGAAGATTTTTGGCGGAAAATTGCTAACTCGGAGATCAGGTAAGCTGGGAGACTGAAATTTTAAAAGGATGTTCCCAGATCATGTACAAATTAAACGATTTAAATTTAGCCCCCATGTGTGCGTGTTCCCCACTTTACAGGACCGTGACAGTTTTTGGCGAGAATTTCTAACTCGGGGACCAAAAAAGTTGGGAAGCTGAAATTTTAACAGAATACTCCCCGTCTA